CATCCCCCACTGGGCATGTGCCCGCAACCAAGGTACATGCCCTTGACTGGAATCGAACCCGGGACCCTTCAGTCCCCAGGCTGATGCTCTATCCAGTGAGCCAAACCAGCCAGGGCAAACATATTTTTTTAAAAAAATTCTAGGTGTAGTAGTGAAACCGTGTTCTTTCTTCCCTTTCAGAACCCTTACCTTTTACAAATACACCCTGAAATATTTAGGGGTAAAATGATAGAATGCCTGTGATTTACTGCAAAATACCCCAGTGGTGGGTGTGCAGGGGGCATGTAGACGTATGCTGGCCAGGGCGCTAGCCACAGGTGGCCATATACATTTAAGTTCAAGTGAATGAAGTGAAATTAGGGCAAAGCACTTGAACAGACACTCTCCCAAGAAGATACACAAATGGCCATAAGCACATGAAAGTATGACCATCGTCACTCGTCATTAGGGAAAATGCAATCAAACCACAGACCCTGGCCCTGGCCGGGTAGCTCAGTTGGTTAGAGCATCGTCCCAATACGCCAAGGTTGCAGGTTCGATCCCCCGTCGGGGCACTTACAAGAATCAATCAATGAACGCGTAAATAAGTGGAACAACAAACTGATGTCTCTCTCAAATCAATAAAGAAAGAAAAATTGAAAATAAAAGTAAATTTTAAAAACCACAGACCCCACCTCACGCCCATCAGGATGGCTACTGTCAATGAAACAGAAAATCGCCAGCAGTGGCGAGAATGAGGGGACACGGAACCCTGTGCACTGCCGGTGGGAGCCCAAAACGGCACAGCTGCTGTGCAGGACCGTCTGGCGGTTCCTCAGAAAATTAAAAATAGAATCACCACATGGCCCAGCAACCCCCCTTCTGGGTACACATCCAAAGGCACCAGGGCCTCGAGGAGGTATGTGCACGCCCATGTTCACAGCAGCGCTATTCACAGCAGCCCAGACGCAGAAACAACCCGTGTCCACCCACAGAGGAACGGATGAGCAGGATGGGACACTATGCAGAGGGAATTCTGACACAGGTTACAACGCGGGCGACCCTTGAGGACATCGCGCTAAGTGAAATGCGCCAGTTACGAAAAGACAAGTGCTACCTGATTCTACTTTTGAGGTCCACACACACACACAGAGAGGAAGCAGAATGCTGGCTGCCAGGGGATGGGGTGGGGGGAAGTGGGGGTTATATAGTGGGTGCAGAGTTTCAGTTCTACAAAATGAAAAGAGCTCTGGAGAGGGATGGTGGGGGCGGCTGTACACTTAGAAATGGCTAAGATGCCCGGCTGGTGTGGCTCAATGGTTGAGCATCAACCCATGAACCAGGTGGTCACGGTTTGATTCCTGGGGGCATGCAGGAGGCAGCCAATCAACGATTCTCTCTCATCATTGATGTTTCTACCTCCCTCTCCATCAAATTAATAAAAAAAAAATTTTTTTAAGTGGCTAAGATGGTAAGTTTTCTGTTACATGTATTTTACCACAATGAAAATAAGGATAATCAGGATTATCGATGTTTTAAATAAAAATATTTATATAAAAATTAAGTGAAATCAAACGCTGTCAGCCACGGAAGCCACACTGCAAGGGCTCACTAGCAGCCACGTGTGGCTGCCGGCTCCCATCTGCCACTGGCTACAGAACCCTTCCACGTGGCAGAGAGCCCTTCTGGGCAGTGCTGGTCGGTAAGAACGGTGGAAAAGTGAAAACTGGTGGAGTTGGTTGATTTGGGGGAGATTGTCCCTGTTTTACTATTCTCTCTACTTTGTACACATTTGAAATTTTCCACAATGAAAAATTTTAACTACAAACATAGTTTATCATCAAACATCATCTCTGTTTGGTTATTTATTGCACCCCCCGCCCCCAACAAAACATCAACACCCCCCAAGAGCAGGGATTTTTGCCTGTTTTGTTCCCTGTGGGGCCTGCACAGTACATGGCACATAGTAGGAGCTCAATAAATATTTATGAAATGAATCTGCAGAAGTAAAACAAACCATGTCCGTTCGTTCATTCATTCATTCGAGGAGCAGCCTGGTGGAAAGGGCGTTTATGAAGCGCCCACTCTGAGGATGCTGTCATGAGCAAAAGCAGATCCAGACCTTGACCTTGGAGTGCACAGCCAGTGGTCTCAGTCAGGGACGGCATTAGATGCCCCTCTCCTCGACACACATGTCCTCAAAAGCTTTGGGAAGAGCGATTCTTGGGGACACGATCGGTGTGCAAAGCTGCCAACTCTAAGTTGTTCACACGGGAGCAGAAGCTTTAGGAGCCATCACATGGTCCCCGCCTGACTCCCAGAAAGGAGAGGGCACATGGACAGAGCCACAGCCACCCTATGAAGGGCACACGCACAAGCATGGACGAGATTTTGCTGTTGTAAGCCACTGAGCTTGGGGGCTCACTTGTTACTGCACATCACTCAGTCAAAGCTGACTGATGCACCTTGCAAAGCCCACAGGGGCCCACTGATTCCTCCGCCTCAGGCCTTAGCTAACTCTATACCCACCGGTCCCTCTCAGGCCCCAGTGAGGTGGGAAGAACGCTGACTCACGTTTCTCAGCTCAGGAAACAAGAATCCCAGAGGGACCAGGACCACGCTACGGGGTGGAATTCGAACTCAGACCCTGTGATCCTGAAGAGCCTCATTCCTCACCACCTCCTATACAAAGCAGGAAACGCCAGCCCGGAAACCACAGGCAGCTCTGGAGAACAACCGTGACGCAACAATGACAGTGTGTCCTTCCAGAAACGCGTGTGAATTCCTCCGGCACTTGTAATGCCTTGGGAGTTCTGCGTTGTCATCGGGAGCTGTGCAGAAGCCAGCAAGCTTGCAGGACGGGAATTAAAGGCCCCGTTAGCTCCAGTAACAGGCGGACTGCAACTCCCCACGACGCATGTGAGTGACCCTCGGGTCACTTGCAAGTCATAAAAAGAAAGCTGACAGGACTGTACCACTGGCTGCTGGAAATGTCAGGGCGAGAAGATAAGTGGCCAAGTCTGGCTGCTGCTTTCCAAACACGTGTCCCCAGCCCTCCTCCTCTCCCTCCCCAGCAGCCTGACGCTGCTCAGGTGACATTTGCCAATTCCAGGATGTAAACAAAGGCCGTGGTTCTGAGCCTGTCTTTTCCTAACCATGGGCCAGGCCGTTGGGGGCTGTGAAATCCAATGAGCAGCCTGTGACCGGGATTTTTCTTTTTTAATTTATTGATGGATTTGGGAGAGAGAGAAGAAAGGAGGGAGGGAGGGGTATTGGTTTGTTGACCACTTATTTATGCATGCACTGACTGGTTCTTGCATGTGCTCTGACTGGGGATCAACACGATGATCTAGCCCACCACTGCTCTAGCCAACTGACCTACCCGGTCAGGGCCAGTTTCTTTTCTTTTCTTTTTTTTTTTTAATTAAACGATATAGAATGTAAAATGGAATGGGAGTGAATAGAAAAGATTAAAAGGCAACACATGTTCAGGACCAGCTTCTGACACTGGTTTCAATTATGGGCGTCTGCACGGGTACATATTTCCTACTGCGAGCTGTCGTCAACACAGCTTTAGAGCAATTAGACTAGGCCGGTGCCAGGCCCGTCCCCTGAATCAGTATCGACTTTCCCAGGCTCCCCGGCCGCTCAGTTAGGCGTAGCGTTCTGCACAGTAAAAGCCAAAGTGCAGCGAGTTGGGGTTGACTCGGTGAGACTTTGGTAACATTTTCCGTCCAGAACATAGAGACAGAACTGCTCAGAAAGGAAGTCCTCTGCTCCTCGCTCTCAGCTTTGAATATAGCGACCCGGAGGCTGATCCGGTCCCTTCCCAAGGATGACTCCTGAGAGGAGAGGAAAGGCTGGGTTCTTAACTCCTCACGGGCTGCCTTCCTCGAGATGCTCATCCCTGACCATTTCAGTTCCCGTTAGGTTTCCCTTTATTTACAGTCAGACACAACCTGACATGAATGAGCTCACACCTCTGTAACTTTGCAGCCCATCTCAAGGACCCTTCCACGGGGCAAGGACTAGTCCGGGAACCCACTGAGCAAAGAGGCCCGGCCAAATGGAGGCGATCTGATGGTGAAGGAATCTGAAAAATAAGGACCACCGTGGTGACTGCAAAATAGCCAAAACTCTTTCCTCCCTGATCCCACATTCTCTTTGCAGCTTCCCTGTTAAGAGATGAGGTCTAGCCCTAGCTGGGGTGGCTCAGCGGATAGAGCGTTGGCCTGGGGACTGAAGGGTCCCGGGTTTGATTCCGGTCAAGGGCACATGCCCAGGTTGCAGGCTTGATCCCCAGTAGGGGGCCTGCAGGAGGCAGTCGATCAATGTTTCTCTCTCATCATGGATGTTTCTCTCTCTCTTTCTCTCTCCGTTCCTCTCTGAAATCAATAAAATATATGTTTAAAAAAAAAAGAGAGAGAGAGAGAGATGAGGTCAATCACCAACCCTTGAACGTGGGCTGGCCTTTGGACCTGCCCTGGCCAACAGTGTGGCGGAAGTGATGTGTGCATTCCCGAGGCTCCGCCCACGGAGACCTGGCAGACTTTACTCTCTGCCCAGCTGCCAGGTGAAGAGGCCGGGCTAGCCTGTCGGAGGGCAAGAGACACATGCCCGTCACCGCCATCATCGCAGCCACCCACACCTGGAGGTAGAGCCACCCACTCAGCTGACCTCCAGCTGACCACAGGCACCCAGGTAAGGCCCGACGTGCCCAGGCCACACCCCAGCCACTGGGCTCCTGGTTCTGTTCCCAGCCACTGTGGACCCTCTCGTTTTCCACAGATGCTGCAACCACGTCTCGGACCCCCAGACCTTCCCCGGGCGACCTTTCCACTCCCCTGGGATGGAGGGAAGTCTGTGACTGCTGCAACCAGGGCAGGGCACAGACGGGCCGCGAGGTGACTTCCGAGGCGAGTCACCTGCAACTCAGGCAATTCAGCTTCTGCCTTGTCCACTGGGACGTCGGGCCTGAGAGCCATCAGAAAGGAGTCGGACTCCCCTGAGGCCACCATGCTGGGGGGACGCCAGAGCTCGTCGCCTGAAGAGACCATGAGCAGGCACTCTGGCTGATGGTCGTACCTGGAGCCACCCCAGCCCAGAGCCAAGCGAGTGTGTGGACAGGCCGCTGCCCCCGCCTGTGCGTCTCCCAGCCCAGACCCAACGTCGTGGAGCAGAGACCCACTGGGTCAAATTCCAGGTGAAATTCTTTTTCTTCTTCTTCTTCTTTTTTTTTTAATCCTCACCCAGGATATTTTCCCCAAGGATATTTTTACCAATGATTTTTTTTAAGAACAAGTGGAAGGGAGGGAGGGGGAGACAGGGAGAGAGAGAAACATTGACGTGAGATACACCGATTGGTTGCCTCCTGCACGCTCCCCGGTTGGGGCCAGGGATTGAACCTACAATCCTTCGGTGCATGGGATGACGAGCTAACCACTGAGCAACCGGTCAGGGTAAATTCCATGTGAAAATCTTTTTTTTTTTTGGTTAATTCTCACCTGGGATATTTTCCCATTGCTCTTTTAGAGAGCGTGGAAGAGAGAAGGAAAGACAGAGAAAAACATCCATGTGAGAGAAACACATCAATTGGCTGCCTCCTGCACCGGCCCTGACTAGGGCCGAGGCCAGGGAGGAGCCTGCAACCAAGGTACATGTCCTTAACCCAGGGACCCTTTGGCCTGTAGGCCGATGCTCTATCCACTGAGCCAAACGGGCTAGGGCCCATGTGAAATTCTTGACCCATTAAACCCATGAGCACTTTAAGCTACTATATTTGGGGCAATATGTTGCTTTAAGCTACTATATGGCAAACCTTGGCTATGATGACAAAGCTACTATCTTTGGGGTAATTTGTTAAACAGCAATATAACCAGGCCGGCCTCTAAATCTCGGAGCTGTAATGCAGCGGGAGCTGACACAGCCCTCCTGAGACTAAGGGCCAAACCCTGACTCCCCAAGTCTCAGCGATTCCACCTCCCTAACCTCTCCGCTCTATCGCCTCCTCCCCCGACCACCACTCCTGCCCAACCTACACCTCGCCATTCCCCTCACCACCTACCCACTCACCCGGCCTGTGCTAGCACTCAGCTTGCTCGTAACTGGCAGCACCTGTTGTTAAAACACTCAAGCATTTCCTTACCCACTGGTAAATAAATGTTGCCCCAAACCCCAGCACCCCGCTGGCCCGCTAAGGACCCCCGGAGGTCCCCCGGAGACCCAGCAACTGTAGGGAACCACCCGGCAGAGCAGGGAGCCCTGGCCCGCCCTCCGCACCACGCCAGGCTTGGCTGATGGGTGCCCACGAGCGGCTGCTTGATATGAATTTGAAATATTGCCTCCGCTGCAGCCATGGATCCGCGAGTGTCACTCAGCACCTCCTGTATTCCCGCCCCGGGCTGGGCGCCGAGACACGTGATGGCCAAACAGGATCATACCTTCCCGGAGCTCAAGTCCACCAGTAAGGACATCAGTCATACCAGGCACGAACGACCGAGTAAAACCCGCCAGGGCCTCTGCTCCTCCGTGCCGACCCACTTCCTCACTGGCCACCAGCTGACCTGCCCGAGCACAAGGCTGACCCCTGCTCAGGAGCACCCCTGGGTGGCTGGAGTCGGGAAGGCCAGGCGTTCTGAGTGATCTGTGCCTGTGCCCTGCGCCTTCAGCTGCCATCATCTTCGCCGTCATAGCCAAGGTTTGCCAAGCTCCCTAGTGCCGGGTGCTATTCTAAGTGCGTCTTCCTATTTCATTTCATTCATAACAATCCGATGTGGCAGGCGCCTTCACCCTCACACCCATTTCACAGATGAGAAAACTGAGGCAGAGAAAAGGGTGAGGTAAGTGGCCCAAGGTCACCAGTTAGCAGAATGGCAGAGCTGGGATTTGAACCCACCAACAGGCTCCCAAACTCATGGGAACTACACAGTGGTAGCAGCCTGGCTGGCTCCCTGGCCAAACCCCAACCACTGACTTTCTGCAATGCCCATACAGGTCCCCACCGTCCCGCCCTCTAATCACCCACATGGACCCTCTTCCCCTTACACCGTCATGAAATGCCACGGAGAACCCGTTCACTTCCCACGCAGCTCAGCCAGAAGGGCAGAGCCAGCGAGGCACTGTGCGTGGACTCACCATACCACGATGCTTACAAGTCTCCCCCTCACGACGTGCTTCTTTCTAAGGCACCTGTCGTGCGCTGAATGATGGCCTCCCAAAAAGTATGTCCACCAACCAGAACCTGAATGTGGCCTTCCTTATTTGGGGGATAAAAAAATCTTTGCATATATAATTGAGATGAGATGAGATCATCCTAAATTATGTCGACGAGCCCTACATCCAATGACCAATGACCTTTTCACAGAAGACGCAAAGGACACAAGGCATGTGAAGACGGAGGCAGAGATGAGGACGATGAGGCTACAACCCAAGGACTGCCTGGAGCCACCGGACGCCGGAAGAGGCCACCAAGGGTCCTTCCCCAGCTCCGAAGGGTCATGGGTTCTATTCCCGGTTGTAATTGTTATGGCCCTGGCCAGTGTGGCTCAGTGGGTTGGAGCGTTGTCCTGTTCACCAAAAGGTCACAGGTTCAATTCCAGGTAAGGGCACATACCTAGGTTGCAGGTTCAATCCATGGCCAGGCGTGTACAGGAGGCAAATGTTTGATGTTTCTATCTCACACCGATGTTTCTCTCTCTTTCTCTCGAATCAATAAGCGTATCCTTGCCCTGGCCGGCGTGGCTCAGTGGTAGAGCGTTGGCCTACGCACCGAAGGGCCATGGGTTCTACTCCCGGTCAAGGGCACGTACCTGGATTGCAGTTTCGTTCCTGGCTCCTAGTCAGGGCACATGCGGGAGGCCACCAATCAATGTCTCTCTCTCACATCGATGTTTCTCTCTCTCTCTCTCTCTCTCTCTCTCTCTTTCTCCTTCCATTCTCGGGTGAGGATTATCAACAAAAAATTTTTAAAAAATAAACATAGCTTCAGGTGAAGATATTTTTAAATAATAAAAATAAATAAATGAATGCAGGATGTAAGCTATAAGATCGACACATGTCACCTGTAGTGGGTACATAATATATATATATATACACTGACCACCATGTACAGTTGTCCAGGTTGTTCACGCACAAAGGAACCCGCCACGGGGACCAGAGGGGCCAAAATCCAGTGAGATAAGGGCAACACCCACCAGGAGGAAGGACCCCCTTCTCCAGCCCACACAAAGGAGGCTCCACAGGGACGGAGCCTCTCGGTGGAGGCACCCTTTGCAATTCCGCGCAAAGGCCCAGCAGGAGCCGCCAGCCCCGGGATAGGTGGCCGCTCGCATGCTGTGCCTATTTCAAAGCCAGAAAAAGAAAACAGAGAAATGTTGGCTGCGGGCCCGCTCCCGCCCCTCGAGGGGAAGGGAGAGAAAGAGCAATTTGAAGCGCAATTAAAACCTACCCCCTCTTCGTTCTGAGCGACCTTTAGAGTTCTAAAATCACTGAATTCCTTACGACGGAAAAGTGTGCCCTGTAAAACTTGCATTGCTCAGAGAGGGCCTGGGTTTGGAAGCCCAGTTTATAGTTACACTAGGAAGGTTTTGGGTGTTCTAAACGCCGCTATAAAGCTGCCGGCCTGCCAGGAAATCCAGGTACCTCAAGAGGTTTTAGGTTTTTTCCCCCCTTTTTTGTTAGAGGAAGAGAGATTTGTTGTTCCACTTGTTTATGCATTTGTTGGCTGTTTCTTGCATGTGCCCTGACCAGGGATTGAACCCCCAGGCAATGCTCTAACCAACTGAGCTACCCGACCAGGGCTAGATTTTTTTTTTCTTTTTTCTTCTTTAAATACATTTTTATTGATTTCAGAGACAGGAAGGGAGAGGAAGAGATAAAAACATCAATGATCAGAGAGAATCACTGCTCGGCTGCCTCCTGCACGCCCCCCACCGGGGATTGAACCTGCAACCCGGGCATGTGCCCTGACCCGGAATCGAACCGTGACCTCCTGGTTCATAGGCTGACGCTCAACCACGGAGCCACACCGGCCGGGCTAGATTTTTTTCTTAGAACTAATTTATAAAAACCAGGGAAACTCTGAGAAGGACTGAAACAGGCGGGGGTGGGGGGGGGGCAGTAGGGGAGTGAGAGGAATGGACACAGGGCCTTCAAGGCACCAGGCCACAGAGAAAGCGCCAAGTTCAGGAGGAAATGAGCGAAAAGAAGCAAAGGGGAAACAGAAGCCGGGGCTGCACCCTCATGGGCCTCGGACCCCTCGGTCCTAAACCTGAGCCAGAACCAGCAGGTCTGGGGCGGGGCCAGAGTGTGTGCCTTTCTAACAGGCTCCCAGGCAGTGCTGATACGCTGGTCCAGGGACCGACCACACTTGGAGAGCCACTGCTCTAGAAGCTTCTGTCTCTATAGTCTTCCTTTGGGGCTCTTGCTCTCAGATCAAACACAAGCCACAGTTCCCAGCCGGCGTCCAGGCCCTCCCCCCCCCACACACAGAGTGGCCTCAGGGGGTCATCTACACAGCTCAGACGGGTAAACAGAACTTGGATTTGCTTCATTCGGCAACATACCCTCCCAGGAGGATGACCACGAGGGCAGGCCTTTGCCCCTTGGCCAGAATCGTTATTTTCTCAGCCTCCTTGGCAGCCAAGGGTAGACACGGGAAAGATTTTCACATTTGGACAAAACACAGAGCCTTAACTCGGGGAGATCTGTCCCCGCCCCCGCTTTCTGCCTGGGAGATGGATGTGAAACCTGATGGCAATGGCCGGTGCCACAGCAGCCGTTTTGCACTCCTGAGCGGGGAGGTCAAGACAGTGCGAGACAGACCAGCCAGTCCGGCCTCGCTGAGCTGCCCGGCACCCCGCCATGGCCTTTGACTAGAAGGTCTCATTCCAGAAGAGAGTGAAAAGCCCGGGTTAGCTGAGGTTAGACACACACCCAACTCTACGGCCCAGCTATTCCACTCCCGGTATTTACTTAGCGGCAGTGGAAAGTATGTCCACAAAAACACTGCACAAAAATTTCCACGGCAGCCTATTCACACACGCCCCACACTGGAGACAGCACAGGTGTCCCCTGACAGGTAAATGAATAAATAAACTGTGTTCCGGCCACACAATGGAACACAGCTTAACAATAAAAGGAAATAAACTACTAATACATGGAACGGACATGATGAATCTGAAATGAATCATGCTGAGCAAAGGAAGCCAGACATGAAAGACTACCCACCGTGTGGTCCCTTTAGGTAAAGTTCTAGTGAAACCGGTGGGAAAAATCAGAGGTAGAAGGGGAGGAGGGGAGGAGAGGAGGG